GTACTGGATGATCTTTTAGGTCCCTTCCAACTCTTAACCAACTTATGATTGATTCTATGACTAGAAGAACCTTTCAGTAACTTTTCTGCCTGAGCTGGGGCACATTCTGTCACGCTCTGGAGAGTACTGGAATAAGTCGCTTCTTGTGATTCACCTTTCTCAGTTTTCAGCTTACAGGTCTCCATATTCCTGCTCCAGTGTTAGTAAAGACCTAAAGGACCAGATGTCTGGGGTCTGAGCAAGGGTATCTCTAGCTCAGTATCCTGAATCCAATGGGAATTAACAAATGAGGGTCAGGGAAACAAATCAGAAAAGGGCAAATATGCGTGTGAGTCTCCAAATCTCCTCTGCGGAAAGGTTCTCCAAGCTGAGTGTCTCTCTGCATTTGCCCTCCAGGTGAGAAAGAGCCCTTCACTTGGAATCCTCCCCACGATGCTGTTGCTGCTGCTTCTGCAGGTCTTGGCGAGCTGCCTCTGGCTGGGACGCAGTGAGGTGGTGACATCCTTTCAAAGTTGTCCTCAGTTTTTCTTCCAAGGAACACCCCCAAACGATGCCCTGAAGCCAAACAACCCAGCCTGGATCTGCCAGCGCTACAACAACCAGTATCACTTTGCCACCCTGTACAACAGAGACCTGCGTATTCCCGCATATTCCGCTTACCTCTACCAGCCTGAAGATGTAACAAAACCTGGCAACATCTGGATGGTTGAGCCCCAGGTGAGTGTCCTCTCTTATAGCACATCACCCTCCAGTCATTAAAAGGTGAACTGCAGCCTTTAACCAAACACTTCCTTTTCCTCTCACCTCCACACACGTGCAAATAGACCTACTGAATGGGATTTCTCATCTAACTTCCAACAACTTCAGCATAGTTTTCCTCTGATGTGTTTGAGACATCAACAGGAGGATAGAAGGAGTCATACCCTAAAAGTGCCCATTTTTCCGCATTTATCTTAAAGGAACCTTATATTACGTTACATTAATTTACATTATATTGAGTCAAATGACCCCCCTCCGTGTCCCATGCTGTAGTGTGGGAACAAACGATGAGGAAAAGACAACTTACAGCAGATAAATTTGAAGGAATAACAGTGATGAGCTCAGATCTCCTCTTCTACCTCCAGTTGCCCCTTACCTCAGGCTCAGTTGAGAAGCATCAAGCATACACAGAGACCTCTGCACACTATAGAACCCTCCCAAACATCCATCTGACACATTTCAGACCTTCAGTACAAAATAGCAAGCAAATTACGGAACAGAAGAGGAGGAAATTCAGGTCATTGCTAAAGACACAGTAACAGTGGGGAATTTAAATGGAGATGAGCAACAGAAGGAAGCCATAGGCCCTCTTCCAGAGGAAGGCTAAATATGTTTCCCTAAATATGAAGGGAAAGGTGTTATAATTAGGAAAGACAAAAGAAAAAGGTATTTGCACTTGTAACTCATAGGAACTCAAGCAACACGTTTGGTATGCACCACTGCAGCCTCCGCATTTAGATGGCATGGACCACAGACAAGGCCATCTGAGGAATCTGTGGTTTTGTTAATTTCCTTCAGAGGTCTTTGTGTGGTATTTAGGTTCCCCAGGTCCCTTTGGGCAATATGAGCTCCATTAAGAGGCTGCTAACTTTAACTTCTTTTCAGTGATGCTGCAGAAGGAACACAGCTGTGCTCCCTGGCACAGATCAGCTCTGAGACTAGTTATTAGCACTGCAGAAGCAGATCCCACTTTCAATGAGCTATTTTTGCTCACTGAGTGAGAAGCTTCACACTCACAATGCACTATAGCCCTCCCAGGGAAGCCTCACCTTGAGGATTGGTTTCCCAACACATCTCCTGTGAGATTAGAGGAAGGCAAACACTGGAGTCTTAGGAGTGTGATACACCTGCAGCAACCATATATACTTCTTCCTGAGTGAGGGCCAAAGCAGGAGAAGAGCTGAAGGGTCTGAGTTCTCCTCATCTCCCCCTGGTAGGGCCGCATGGCTCTTCTGCTCATCCTCATCCCATTCCGCCCACCTTTAAGGATGCACTAAGACACCCAAACTTCAAAAAGGATATCTGTGTGCCTGTTTTCCCTAAGCTTGTAAAACACCAGGATGTTGACAGATTGAATGAAAAAGGCAAAAAAACCTGTCATGGAGACTGAGAGAGCTCTTGTGGAAATGGGGCTGAAGAGAGCAAAGGCCAGGGCTGAGGAGAGCGTGATTTGATGCAGGTGATGGAGGTTGGATGTGCTTACTGGGGCTGGGAGGAACTGGGGAGAGGCCTGGGCAGATGTGGGATGTGGAGAAGGGAGGAAAGGGAACCAGCTGTGGCAGGAGAGGTGTCTCACCAAAGTCACCTTTCAACCCTGAGTGTGGAAAATGCTCCTTGTCTCATGTGTCCACCCACACTCCCACTGTGGGCTGCAGGCTGGGTTTCAAATGGCACAAGTCAAATCAAGAGCAGGCAGATTCTGAGCTTTATTATGTTGTTTGTTTTTTAATCTCTTGTGTTCACTGGGGAGGAGCATCTTTATGATTTCTCTCTGCTTCATGCAATTTTGTACAGTGAGTTGACAAAAAGTGCATTGTCGACATCAGAGACTTCTGCTGCAGGGAGACCTGTTCCCTTACTCCCATCCCCAATACTAACACCTTTTTTATTTCTTTACCTCTCAAGTTGATTGGTCCAGATTATCCCAAGGATATGGAAAAAGAGTCTACACTCATGAGTCACTCAAATGTTACCTTAGAACAAATCAAGAACAGCCAGGCTAGCCACCAGGACTACAAGAACCTGACAGGTTTGGACCGCGGCCATTTGAGCCCCAGCTACCATCAACCCACCTTCGATGGGAAGAAAGCTACCTTCACCCTCACCAACATAGTCCCGCAGAATGCAAAACTCAACGGCGGTGCCTGGTTACAGTACGAGGTGCAAATGATGATCAATAAGACCGAGGACTGTACCACCACCTACGTTGTTGTGGGTGCTGTGCCTGGGAACAGCTATATCTCTAGTGACAGGGTTAATGTACCCAGCTACATCTGGTCTGGTGCTTGCTGTGAGATGGGCAAAAACCAGATGAAGGCTTGGGCGGTCATTGCGGAGAATGACAAGAATGCAGTCCAGCCCCTCACACTGGGGCAGCTGGAGGACAGGTTAACTGGGCTCTATAAAAAGGGCCAGGTGTCTCTGTTTCACAGCGACTGTCCCCGCCAATAAGCCCCACTTCACATGCCGGGTGTAAAAGGCTTGTGACCCTTCACCACTAGCAGCATCACCACATCTCCCATGCAGCGTCCGTACTGCTTCCTCCTCTAGTTGTTTTCCAGCTCTGTCCCTCAAAGCACATTCTCCTCTGATTAAAGGGAGAAAGAGGTCAGCAGAGCCTCCAGCTGCTTTGCTTTGCTGCCCACCCTTGGAGGGAGTCCTTCCCTCTGAGGGGCAGGTTGGAAAACAGCCCATGGGAAAGGAAATCAGAGCTTGTCACAGACTAGAACAGCTTTCCTTGTTTTTCCCTTTTCTCCATGCCCATCTATAGATTGTAGTTCCTTCCTCTCCTCCTTAGATCTCACTGATAATGTGCTGGCGACTTGTCCCTCACCTCCCCAAGAAGGGGGTGGCTTTAGGGTGGCTCAGGTTGCCCAGAGACATTGTGGAGTCTCCATCGCTGGAGACAGTCAAACACTTGACTGGACACAGTCCTGGACAACCTGCTCTAGATGACCCTCTTTGAGCAGGGGTCTGCACCAGACGACCTTGAGAGGTCATAGAATCATAGTATCATAGAATCATTTGGGGTGTGAAGGGGCCTCTAGAGATCATCTAGTCCAACCCCCCTGCTGGAGCAGGTCTACCTACAGCACGTTGCACAGGAACTTGTCCAGGTGGATTTTGAATGTCTCCAGAGAGGGACACTCCACTGCCTCTCTGGACAGCCTGTGCCAGTGCTCTACCACTCTCATGGGAAAGAAGTTCCTCCTAAACTGAGAACGAGGTCCCTCCCAACTGCTGAGATCCCTCCCAACCTCAGCAATTTGGTGACTCTGTGATTTATCCAGGGACCATGAAAGCAAAGAGCCCAAGGATTGCTGAGAGCCTGGTAGCACTATCCTACAAATACTTTCTGACCAACACAGCCAGTGACCACAGCAAAGGATAAAGGGACATAGGAAGGTGGGAAGGGGAAGACAACCAAGCACAGGAGGAATATCCCAGCTCTCCTGAACTCTGTAGATAGGTGAAGCAAAAAGAAAGGAAATATCATACATATCAGGCACCTACATGCAGGGGTCTCCATGTGTGCTGGATGTCTGAGCTCTGACTGCAGCCACCAGAGATCCAGGCACGGCCCAACTTCATGAGCAGTGGTGTCCTGGGCCTCTTGAGGTGCCCTGATGGTTGCAAGACATCCAGTGGAGCTGGCTGCTCTGCTGCAAGATCCTCTGGAACACCCACACCCATATGGGTCAGTAGCCAGGGGCACTGAAATAGCACTGATGGTGCTGCTCATTGAGGTAGGAGAACTTTTTTCCTTTTAGGAGGACAATGTAGGAACCATCAGTGTTATTCTGAGTCCTCTGGATAGCTGGCACAAGCAAGGGTTGTTGCAGCTGGAGACCACAGGAGCAGAAGTCCTTTGTCCAGACTTTCTCTGATTCCTCCAAAGTCTGTGGCTTCTCAGGGCTGGCCTGAGCAGTAAAGAATGAAGCAAAGGCGGCATTCAGCAGCTCCACCTTCTCTGTGGTGACCTCTGTCACCATGGCACCTGTCTCAATCAACAGTGAGCTCACATTTTCTCTAGTTTTCCCTTTGCCTCCAATGAAAAAACCCTTCTTGTTGACTTTGACTCTGACATCCCTTGCCGATTATAATACCAAGGAGGCCTTGGTTTTCCTCATTTCAGCCCTGCATACTTTAATGGCACTCTTGTCATCTTCCCAAGTGGTCAGTCCCTTCTTCCACTCCCTGTAGACTTCAGTCTTCCGCTCGAGTCTTTTCAGAAGCTCCTTGCTCAACCACGCAGGTCTCCTGCTCCCCTTGCCTGATTTCTTGCTCTTAGGGATACACCGATCCTGAGCTTGGAGAAAACAGCGTTTGAATACCAACCAGCCCTCTTGAGACCCCCTACCTTCCAGAGCCCTATCCCATGGGATTTCTCCTAGCAGTTTCTTGAAGTGGTCAAAGTTAGCCCTCCTGAAATCCAAGGTTGCAGTCCTACTTGTTCTTTTCCGCATACTGCCCATGATCCTGACCTCTGTCTTTCCATGGTCACTGCAACCAAGGTTGCCCCCAACCTGGATGTCCTCCACCAGTCCTCCTTTGTTTGTCAGCACTAGGTCCAGTAGTGCTTCTCTCCTTCTTGGCTCCTCCACCAGCTGAGTTAAGAGATTACCATCAATGCACTGGAGGAACCTCCTGGACTGTAGGTGCCCAGCTGTGAAGCCTTTCCAGCAGGTATCAGGGTGATTGAAGTCCCCCACAAGCAACAAGGCCTGTGATTGGGAGGCTACTTTGAGCTGATTGTAAAAGGCCTCATCAACTTCCCCATCCTGATCAGGTGGCCTGTAATAAACATGCACAATAGTGTCCCTCATAGTGGCCTGCCTCCTAATCCTCACCCACAAATTCATTCTCAACTCTCTTTTCCTCTGACCCCAGGGAGGGCTTTCGGGACACCTCCTCACTCTCTATCCATTCCTTACCAGAGAGGGCAACACCTCCGCCCCTCCTTCCTCACCTATCCCTTCTGAAAAGCTTGTAGCCCTATGTAGCCACACTCCAGTCAGAGGATTCATCCCACCAGCTTTCAGTGATGGTCACTATATCACATCTTCCTAAGAGCATGGTAGCTCCAGCTCCTCCTGCTTGTTACCCAAGCTGCATGCATCCATGTAGAGGCACTTCAGCTGGGCTCTTGGCTGTGCTGCCTTCTTAAGGGAACACCCCGTGAGGTGTCTTGCAGGTGTTTCTCTGTTTACTTCAACGACCTCAGGAATTGCTGGTTCTTCTCCATGAGACTTTGACTGCAGTGCAATGTCACCAGCGTGGCTCCGGGAGCCGGGCTGAAGGCCCTTACTAGCACCCTGGCCCTCCTCAGAGGGCAGCAATGATCTTGGTATCCCAGAGCCACCGGCAGCACATGAGGAAGAGAGAGACTCAGCTCTTGCTGACTTGGGTAAGCTGGGTTCAAAGATAAAGAGCTTCTCTGCTGTGGGGTAAGGGTCCAAAACGGCCAGCTTATTGCACTCATGCCCGTCCCCAGCCAAAACCAACGTGCTGTGGTCTCCGTAACTGCTGTGTTAAAGCCTTGCACCACTTCCCACATGCGATAAATGACCACTATCGAGCACACAAACCCCTTCCCTGGGTTGGAGCTTGCACCATTCCTACATGCAATAGCTTGATGCTACCCTAAACCATTTCCCTGCATTGGGGTGTCTGACACTGAGCAGAGCAGCTTTGGTTCTCCTTTAAAAAAAAATTGAAAAAACACTGAAAAATATCCCAGATCTGTTTTCCCTTTTGCAAAACAAGGCAAAGAAATGGTGGCTCCTGGCCCCTTCCCCAGTGAGACGTCTCGGTGTCACACAGAGCTGGTTTCTTTCTCCCCTCTGATGTCTTTGGAGTGCCCTGGCTGGGATGGAGTGAAACGCACTTATTAAAAACAGTGGAATGACTGAAAAGGTGTCATTCAATTTGAATGAATTAAAAACAGTACTGAATGAGTTCATTGCATCAGTCTTCAGTGCTAAAGCTGTCCCTCAGAGATGCCAGAGCCTGCTGGTAGGGGAGAGAGCCTGAAGTAAGGGAGACTCTCCCTCTATAGCAGAGGATCAGGTTAGAGATCATTTCAGCAAACTTGACCCCCACAAATCCATGGCCCCTGGTGGGATGCACCTGTGAGTGCTGACGGAACTGGCAGATATTATTGTGAAGCTCCTCCATCTTCCTGAAAAGTCATGGAGAACAGGGGAGGTGCCCAAGGACAGGAGGAAAGCTAGTATCATGCCAGTCTTCAACAAGGTCAAGAAGGAGGACCCAGGAAACTACAGGCCAGTCAGCCTCAGCTCCATCCCTGGAAAGGTGGTGGAACAGCTCACCCTGGATGTCATCTCTAAGCATGTAGCAGAAAGAGGTCATCAGGAGTGGTCATCATGGATTCATCAAGGAAATCATCAAGGGGATATCCCACTTGAACAATCTGTAGCCTTCTATGATAGGACAACAGGTTGGCTGGATGAGGGGAGAGCAGGGGATGTTGTCTACCTTGACTTTAACAATGCTTGGGAACAATTGCACAAGGAGATACCTTGCAAAAGGCCGCTGGAAATCCACTGGTCCTGGCTCCACCCCTGCACAAACTTCCCCTAAACCCCATCTGAGAAATCTAACAAAGCAGAATTACACAATTCTGCCTTCCAGGAGATCGTATATAAACCCTCCAAGGTCACAGCCAGTTTCAGGCTGTAGCAGAGGTGTTTGAAACTCCTCTACCACTTTGGGGCTGCCAGCGGAGTCCTGTGCATAGAAATACTGTTTCTCTGCTGCTCTTTCAGACGGTAGGTTGGTTTCTATATATCTGATACTAAGTTAGTTAGCTATATTTTAAGCTCGTGCAGAGGGTGGTGCAAAAGAAATTCTTTCCTGTGAGGGTGGTGGGACACTGGCCCAGGTTGCCCAGAGAAGCTGTGGATGCCCCATGCTTGGAGGGGTTCAAGGACCAGGCTGGATGGGGCTTTGAGCAACCTGGTCTAGTGGGTGGTGTCCCAGCATGGGGCAGGGGAGTTGGTAATGGATGATCTTTTAGGTCCCTTCCAACTCTTAACCATTCTATGATTCTATGACTAGAAGAACCTTTCAGTAATTTTTCTGCCTGAGCTGGGGCACATTCTGTCACGCTCTGGAGAGTACTGGAATAAGTCGCTTCTTGTGATTCACCTTTCTCAGTTTTCAGCTTACAGGTCTCCATATTCCTGCTCCAGTGTTAGTAAAGACCTAAAGGACCAGATGTCTGGGGTCTGAGCAAGGGTATCTCTAGCTCAATATCCTGAATCCAATGGGAATTAACAAATGAGGGTCAGGGAAACAAATCAGAAAAGGGCAAATATGCGTGTGAGTCTCCAAATCTCCTCTGCGGAAAGGTTCTCCAAGCTGAGTGTCTCTCTGCATTTGCCCTCCAGGTGAGAAAGAGTCCTTCACTTGGAATCCTCCCCATGATGCTGTTGCTGCTGCTTCTGCAGGTCTTGGCGAGCTGCCTCTGGCTGGGACGCAGTGAGGTGGTGACATCCTTTCAAAGTTGTCCTCAGTTTTTCTTCCAAGGAACACCCCCAAACAACGCCCTGAGGCCGAACAACCCAGCCTGGATCTGCCAGCGTTACAACAACAGGTATCACTTTGCCACCCTGTACAACAGAGACCTGCGTATTCCCGTATACTCTGCTTACCTCTACCAGCCTGGATCTGGCACGAGACCTAACATCTGGATGGTTGAGCCCCAGGTGAGTGTCCTCTCTTATCACATCACCCTCCAGTCATTAAAAGGTGAACTTCAGCCTTTAACCAAACACTCCTTTTTCCTCCCACCCCCACACACGTACAAATGGATTCCCTGGATGGGATTCATTCATGGGAGCTCTTGTGGAAATGGGGCTGAAGAGAGCAAAGGCCAGGGCTGAGGAGAGCGTGATTTGATGCAGGTGATGGAGGTTGGATGTGCTTACTGGGGCTGGGAGGAACTGGGGAGAGGCCTGGGCAGATGTGGGATATGGAGAAGGGAGGAAAGGGAACCAGCTGTGGCAGGAGAGGTGTCTCACCAAAGTCACCTTTCAACCCTGAGTGTGGAAAATGCTCCTTGTCTCATGCGTCCACCCACACTCCCGCTGCGGGCTGCAAGCTGGGTTTCAAAGGTCACAAGTCAAATCAAGAGCAGGCAGATTCTGAGGGTTTTTGTTTGTTTGTTTGTTTTAATCTCTTGTGTTCACTGGGGAGGAGCAGCTTTATGATTTCTCTCTACTACCTGTATTTTTGTACAGTGAGATGACCAAAAGCGTGTTCTCGTCACTCAGAGACTTCTGCTGCAGAGAAACCCATTCCCTTATTCCCATCCCCAATACTAACACCTTTTCTCTTCTTTACCTCTCAAGTTGATTAGTTCACAGTATTCCAATGATATGCAAACAGTGGAGGACCTCAGGAATCAGACAAAGGTCACCCTTGCAACAATCATGAACAGCCAGGCTATCTCCCAAGACTACAGGAATCTGAAGGATTTGAACCGCGGACATTTGAACCCGCGCTGCCATCAATATGACAACGACAGCATGATGGCTACCTTCACCCTCACCAACATAGTCCCACAGAATAAGACACTCAACGGCGGTGCCTGGAATGACTATGAGGTGAAAATGATGATCAATGAGACCACGGGCTGCACCACCACCTACGTTGTCGTGGGCGCCGTGCCTGGAAACAACTATATCGCTAGACAGAGGGTTAATGTACCCAGCTACATCTGGGCCGGTGCCTGCTGCAAGAAGGGCAACAACCAGATGAAGACTTGGGCTGTCATTGCGGAGAATGACAAGAATGCTGTCCAGCCCCTCACGCTGGGGGACCTGGAGAACAGGTTAACTGGGTACTATGGCACTTCACCCTCACCAACATAGTCCCACAGAATAAGACACTCAACGGCGGTGCCTGGAATGACTATGAGGTGAAAATGATGATCAATGAGACCACGGGCTGCACCACCACCTACGTTGTCGTGGGCGCCGTGCCTGGAAACAACTATATCGCTAGACAGAGGGTTAATGTACCCAGCTACATCTGGGCCGGTGCCTGCTGCAAGAAGGGCAACAACCAGATGAAGACTTGGGCTGTCATTGCGGAGAATGACAAGAATGCTGTCCAGCCCCTCACGCTGGGGGACCTGGAGAACAGGTTAACTGGGTACTATGGCAAGGGCAAGGTGTCTCTGTTTCACAGCGACTGTCCCCGCTAATAAGCCCCACTTCACATGCTGGGTGTAAAAGGCTTGTGACCCTTCACCACTAGCAGCATCACCACATCTCCCATGAAGCGTCCGTCCTGCTTCTTCCTCTAGTTGTTTTCAAACTTTGTCCTT